CCCATAACAAATACTGTACTACACGTACACGGACGTTCACAAAAGTCAAAACGGATGTCTGCAGTCAACTTGCTGCTGATCTCCGCCGATATGTCATCGCGGCATCCGGCGTACACTAACCACAAACTTGCAGTCGTACCCAACCGCGTACACCGTGGTGTACTTTTTCTCATATTGGTCTCACAGCATTCAATCTTTGATGTCAGTTGCCTCAACTGCAAGTGCGGTTTATATGACCGCAAGTCGACCACAAAAATGTGGTTGGATCAACCGCGAAGTGCAGTCAATGTAACCACAATGTTGTGGTTGCCTCCAAGCAAATATGTGGTCCGTGTTCGGCCGGACTTAGAAACAAATCCCTTTAAAAATTAAAACCCAACATTTGAAACATCAATTTGAATACTTTTCGAAGTGAATTTGAAAAACTCATGAAATAAACTCAACTTTATTTTGTTCAAACTTGCATTTGCTGTAATAATCCAAATTGAGGAACATTCCCCATTGCGCTTTCTGCTTCGATAAGTTTGTTGGGGGTTGAAATGAACACCAGTTTGTCTTGGCCATCCGCCTGATTGCAGACGCGAACCTTGCAGCCTTGGTTGTTTGGAACATCGAAGAAAGGTTCTATAGATACTTTCACGGGAAGTAAAATCAATATTATCTTCCAGGTATAAATCTTCTTCGAATTATAAACGAACCCACAGCGGCGGCTTTGGCGTACGGTCTCGACAAAAACTTGACAGGAGAAAAAATCGTGTTAATCTTCGACTTAGGTGGCGGCACTTTCGATGTGTCCATCCTAGCCATTTCTGAAGGGTCCCTTTTCGAAGTAAAATCAACAGCTGGCGATACGCATTTGGGAGGAGAAGATTTCGACAACCGTTTGGTTAACCATTTCGCGGAGGAATTCAAGAGAAAATTCAGAAAGGATCTAACGAAAAATCCAAGGGCGTTGAGAAGGCTGAGGACTGCTGCCGAGAGGTAAGTTTCTTTAGACTTGGAAGCTAGGGCTGGCCCTATAATTTCAATTTTTGGTGCGCCGGCAGAATATAAATTTGGTCCCCCTCCAGAAATTTTACTGCATATCACGTATGCTCTCATATAGTAAATACAATAAAGTACAAAAACTAAAAAAAGTTGTATTGAAAATTCGAACAATTTGAGTAACTAGTGATGGTTTGGAAAAGTTTTGGAGGAATACTGAAAATTAGGAAAGGTAGATGGAAGTTGAATTGTCAATATTTTTTTTAGAAAAATATGAGATTATGCCGCCGATGATAATTTTAAAATATTTATCACATTTATCAGTAAGCTGGTAATAAACTGGGAAACTTACNCCACTTATAATAAATATAATACAATTTTTCTCTACGAAATGCTATATACCTATGAATAAATTTCGAAAACCGCTGAAAAAATGATTTTTTTGTGCATGGTGCAAATAATTATAAATATACTAGCTATTACCCGCGGCTTCGCCTGCGTAGAATTTGGTTTGTCACATTAAGTATCGTGACAGACTATTTCACACAAATAGTTACAACATTTTATTATTCACGACCAACTCTTACCCGCGGCTTCGCTGTCATTCATGCTATTAAATAAGTGTCAGTACAATGGAAATGAATCAATATGAGAACTATATTTTAATGTTTGGCTGGGATTATCAATTTTTATTTATAAATTATTACCTAACCTTACCTAACATAACCTAAAAATATTTTTTTAACAAAACAAAAATTCATGATGATCGGTTGAGTATTTTTGACGTGAAACTGTAACAAACAAACTTACGTTCGCATTTATAATATTAGTAGGGATACATCCACACATAAGTACACATATAATACATTGAACAATAGCGAACAATAAACAAACAATTGATTGAATGCTAAACAAAAATATGTTTCCCAGCTTTTTGGTTTTATTACCTTCCATATTCTGAAAAATAAACAAAGATAAGTCAATAGACAATCTGCTGAAGTGTTATGATGCGCAAACTAATAGGTGATATAAACCACTGAAAAGTCCAATTAGTCAGTCGCTTGTGTCTAAAATTTTTGACTATAAAATGAATAAGCAATGGAAAACCAAGTAACTACTATGTCTAATCTAGTTTCCGGGTTTTTTGCCGTGGTCTGCAGGTTTTACACCTGACGTTTCGTCTACTACTGCGGTAGACATTATCAAAGTGCTATAGTTGGTGCTAGAGTTGGTTTCAATGCAGAAACTCGAGTCTCAAAATAAACCTGAATTTCGGTGCTCAATTTCTTTCCAGCGAGTATTCTTTTCAGGTCTGAGAACAGAAAAAAGTCGCTGGAGGCCAGATCTGGTCTTTTTCTTCAAATGAGGCGGTTTTTCCGCGATTTCGTCCTTCAAACTCTCCGACAGCTGTGAAATTTTTACATGTGTCTTTTGAAGGTGTTACGGTTAACTAAAAATAATATTAATGAACACTAGTTGCGCTATCTGTGTGTTAGCCTACGAACTTTTCAGCTTTTTCAGCCTTGCTTCCTTTGGAATATTCACATTACGACATCACATTAGAATCCTGTGAAATTATCAGCGTTTCTCTACTGTAATATGCATGTTAGATACATATGAACCTTCCTCTTGAATCACTATATCTATTGAAAAAACCTGCATCAACATACGTTGCGAAGTTTTAAAGATCTAAGCATACATAGGGACAAACAGCGGGAAGCCACTTTGTTTTATTCTGTCGTGATGCTGAACAACCGTACATCTAAAGGGTATACATATATCACTGATTATACCGGATGATTTTCTAAGATGGCTCACCCCTATAACTTTTTTATT